GCAGAAGTGTGGGAGCCATCCCAGGCTTCTGAGCTGGAGAAGAGCAATGCGAGTTCTGCACTAATATTAGCTTGGCATTAACTTACATTGTTCGGTGTGCAGACTGCAGAGGACAGAATTACACAGTAGCCAGGCAGCTGGAAATATGACACAGCGCTCAAAAGCATGTTGGGATGGACATAGGGATAAGGTTTGGTCTGATGGAATAACTGAGTGTACACCCCTCCACCCCTCCCCTGGGCACTGACCTTTAGTCCACTTCACAACCCACATTCCCTTTCGCTGAGACCACATTCCACTGGCTAAGACCAGTATCCTTCCCCTTGGGCCTTCCTAGGGCCCTGCCCAGAGAATCTCCGCCTGGAAAGCCGCCTAGAGTCCTTTATTTTATTTTTATTTTTATTTTTAAGTTTTATTTATTACTTTATTTTTATTATTTTTTTTTCTGAACCCAGAAAAAGACAGATGCTCATATATATTATTAGCTACAACTGTGCCAGGCCCCATTTTAAGTGCTTCTCATGTTTTGTTTTGTTTTTCCAATAACTTATATGCACTATTATTAAAACCCACTTTTCAGGTAATAAACAGGCAGGTTAAATCATCTAAGATTACACTGACAGTTAAATGGCAGAGACTCAGGATTTGAACATTCTGGCTTCTGAGAAAACACCATTCACAGTAACTGCCCTCTGAAATAATTCCAACATTACCACACTAAACCCCTATCTAATTTTCTGAAAGTCAATAGTGACCACTTATTATTCTCATAGCCCCCAGTTTTATGTGCAAATAACATATATCCATGCCACAAAAACTATGTGACATGTTCACTCTTAATGGAGTTGTGCTACTTACTGTTATCTAGAAGTTACTAGAGCAATAACAGATCCATAAACTTTAAAACTACATCCCTCCTAAGCCTCAGTTAAATAATAACCTACTTATTATGAGACCAGTGTTTCTGATCTTTTCCCCTCCAAGACATAGCAATCATCATTTTATGTGCCTCAGGCGTGAAACAGCTCTGGCCACCGACACAGGCATCACGCTAGGATGAACTGAGGACTGAACATCTGCTTTGCCCCTGGTTGATATAAGAGCAACGCCACCAATCAGGGCCTCAGCCCATCGGGGCTCCCAGAGGACCTAATACATTTATAACTCTACCCCTTTGGCCTTGAGTGGTCCTCCTTCGGAGACCCTAACAGATGTGAGATTTATCCCAATAGTGGAGTTGGTTGCAGTGAGGGGCTAAATTATCCTGGAAGCGTTTCAGTCTATGACATTACAGTGTTTACTTTTTTTTTTTTTTTAGGATGTCTTTCCATTGATTTCCTCTTACGTGCCTCTCCCTTTCTTTTCTTCACAAAGACTGTGGGTCCTCAGGGCAGGAGCTGTGTCTTGTTCCCCCCACGGGCCGTGAGCTCAGTAAGTGTTGGCTGGAGAAACAGAATGTGCAGGGACTGTAGCCCTTTCTCAGGGTGAAGAGCAGACCCCGTGAGACTGAAGCGCTTACGTGTGGAGAGGATTGATGTCATTGCTGGATGGCTTCCGGCCTTTGGGAAGCCTGGCACTGAATTACAGAGCGTCACGTGATTGAGATGGGGCCAAGGGCTTAAGTGAAACAATATACAACAGCTGCAGACACACACGCACACACACACACACACACACACACACACCCCAACCAACCACACACACACACACACACACACACGCCAATCACACACACACACACACACAGTCACACACCCCCAACCACACACACACACACACACACACACTCACATACCCCAACCACACCCATTCACACACACCCCACACACACACCCCAACCACACACACACATACCCCAACCATACACACTCACACACCCCACCCCAACCACACACACCCTACCCCAACCACACACACACTTATACCCCAACCACACACACACATACACATACACACACACACACCCCAACCACACACACCCTACCCCAACCACACACACTCACACACCCCACCCCAACCACACACACACACATACCTCAATCACACACACACACACACACATACACACACACACACCAACCACACACACACACACATACACACACAACACACACACACACACACACACACACACACACACACACACACGCCAATCACACAAAGAAAGGCAGCCCCTCCCCTCAGACGGTCCAGCCCAGGCTCCTGGAGACCCGCCCCGCCTCCTGCCTCCCTGAGCCCCTGCAGAGCCCTCATGGAGAATGGGAGGAGGTGGCAGCTGGAAAGGAGGGGGAGGGGGAGAGGGGCAGGGGAGAGGGGCAAGGGAGAGGGGGAGAGGGAGGGAACTAAACACTACATCTGCGGCCAGAGGAGCTCCGCAGATCCCCGCAGGCCCCTATGGGCCCGAACCCCAGTCCGCCCACCGCTCCCCCGCAGCTCAGCTCGGAGCCTCCCGCCGGCCGCTGCTCCAGGCTGTCCTCTCCCCCCATCGCCCGCCACCGCCCCTTCCCGCGGCTCCACCCCTGGCCCTGCGCGCTCAGGAGGCCTGGACACAGGGGGCCCTCTGACAGCTCTCCTTGGCGACGGGGTGCTCACCCTGCATGCTGTCTGGTGACCCAGCCTGAGCCGGGGTGACTGAGCCTGAGACGGGGTGACGGGGCCTGAGACGGGGTGACTGAGCCTGAGACGGGGTGACCCAGCCTGAGACGGGGTGACCGAGCCTGAGACGGGGTGACCCAGCCTGAGCCGGGGTGACAGGGGCCTGAGCCGGGGTGACCAGAGCCTAAGACGGGCTGACCGAGCCTGAGCCGGGGTGACAGAAGCCTGAGACAGGGTGACCCAGCCTGAGACGGGGTGACAGGAGCCTGAGACGGGGTGACAGGGGCCTATAACGGGGTGCTGGGGCAGGAGAACCCAGTAACTCAGAAAGGGTTTGAGAGCCAAAGGTGGTGGTGAGGAGGATGGCGATTCGTAAAAATAAAGATGATTTTTTTCTTTTGGGGACATCTAGACGCTGGTTTCCCCAGCTGGGAAAACAGACACGGGTGAAGCTCGTGCGAATGTACGGAAGGAAGGACACCATTTCCCTCCTGGCTTACTAACCCCAGGGAAATAAAACAAAGGAAAGCCAAGCAATGCAGCCTCAGAATCGGGACTGAATTTTGTTTTACGTTTTTATTGATCCCATAGGGGTGACATTGGCTAATGAGGTCACGTAAGTTTTAGGTGTGCCATTGACAACACATCCTCTATGCATTGTGTGTGTTCACCACCCAGCCAGTCTGCTTCCATCACCGCTCATTACTCCCCGATTCTTTGGGTCAGTTACAGTCCACCTTCAATACAGACCTGCATTTTAGCCATTAACTTACCTCTCCAACCTCTTCAACTGGCCTCTAAACTTTAAGAACAAAACAAATTGATTTGTTCAAACAAATCAAATTGATTGTTTTGTAGTTGTTTTACCTTTTCTTCTTCATTTCCAAGCTTTCTGAAAGAGCGGTTAATGAGTGAAACAAATACATATGGAAAAGGAGGGGGAGAGGAATACCAGAACCATGAGCTAGAGGGCTTTATTTCTTTATTTTTGTTAATAGTCACCTGCGGATATTTTTTCCTTTTTTTTTTTTTTTTTAAGAAAATAGAACCAGGGAGGGAGGCAGAGAGAGAGAGAAACAATGATGTGAGAGAGACACATGGAGATGAGAGACACACACTGACTGGTTGCCTCCCCTACGTGACCTGACTGCAATAAACTTAGTGTCCTTGATCAGAACCGAACCCAAGACCCTTCAGTCTGAAGGCTGACACCCTAACCACTAAGTAAACCAGCCTGGCTAGATGACTTTATTCTTATTTATTTATTTTATTTTTGGATGTTAAATTTTTAAAAATATATTTATTGATTTTTCACAGAGAGGAAGGGAGAGGGATAGATAACTAGAAACATCGATGAGAGAGAATCATCGACCAGCTGCCTCCTGCACACCTCCTACCGGGGATGTGCCTGCAACCAAGGTACATGTCCTTGACCGGAATCGAACCTAGGACCTTTCAGTCCACAGACCGATGCTCTATCCACTGAGCCAAACTGGTTAGGGCTCATCATTGATGTTTCTCTCTCTCCCAAAATACATAAATAAAAAAAAAATTAATGTTTTTTTTTTAAAGGAGTTAAGTTCACTTTAAAAGTGGGGGCGATGCCCTGGCCAGTGAGACTAAGCTGTTAGAGCATCAGCCCATGCACTAAAGGCCCCAGATTTGTTTCCCGGACAAGGGCATGTACCTGCGCTGCAGGCTCACTCCCCATCACGGGTCAGATGTTTCCCTCTCTACACCACCACCGCCTTCTGCTCTCTGAAAAGCAATGGGGAAAATATCCTCAGGTGAGGATTAACAACAACAGGAAAAGGGGGGTATGAACCCAGGTTTGGGGTTCCATCCCCAGTCGGGGGGTGTGCAGAAAGGAGGTGATTGATGTTTCTTTTTCACTATTGTTTCTATCTGTCTGTAACAATCAATAAAAATATATTTTTAAAAAATAAATCAAATCAATCAATCAATAAAGGGGGGTCTGCAAAAAGTTAAAACGGAGAAACAAAGTCTTTTTCCCCTTATTCCTATTCTTGCAATTCTCCTCAGGGTAGATTCTAAAACCATTATGTATACTCACTGTGTGTTTCCTTCTTTCCTTCTGAGGCTGTAAGGATATAATTCAAATTTAAAAATCCTTCCCTATAAAATGGAGTGGTGCTCAGCACTTAGTCATTACTACTTCATAATTAAAATGCTACACAAATCTGAGGTGTTATTCTCCTTAAAAGGCAAGGCAAGGCCCAGACAAACACTGGGTTTTGAACCTTCTTTAGAACAGAGGTCTCTTGGGTCCTTAGAATCAGCCCAAGCTTGACTGCCTTGTTCCGCTGGGAGTGCTCCCTCTTCACCTTGCCATCAGCGGGGGGGAGGCGGAGCCCCTACCTGACGCGCCTTGCTCTGACCCACAGGTGATCACGTACTCCGGCCATCACGTCTATGACAACTTGACTGAGGAACAGAAGGGCCGAGTGGCCTTTGCGTCCAATTTCCTGGCAGGAGATGCTTCCCTGAAGATCGAGTCTCTGAAGCCTCGAGATGAGGGCCTGTACACGTGCAAGGTGAAGAATTCGGGGCACTACGTGTGGAGCCACGTCGTCTTAAAAGTGCTAGGTAAGGTAGAGTGCCAACGCAAATGCCTACCTTTTACTAATGAAGTCTGGGCAGGGACAGCCAAAGGCATTGTTGTACAAAATGTCTTTTTCTGCACTCTTTTTAAGATTGAATTTATTGGGGTGACATTGGTTAATAAAATTACATGGGTTTCAGGTGTACAGTTCTATAATACACTAGAGGTCTGGTGCACGAAATTGGTGCATGGGGGGTGGGGAGGTGTCCCTCAGCCCAGCCTGCACCCTCTCCAATCTGGGACCCCTCGAGGATGTTCAATTGCCCGTTTAGACCCGATCCTACCGGAATCGGGTCTAAATGAGCAGTTGGACATCCCTCTCACAATCCAGGACTGCTGGCTCCCAACTGCTCGCCTGCCTGCCTTCCTGATTGCCCCTAACCACTTCTGCCTGCCAGCCTGATCCCCCCTAACCACTCCATGCCAGTCTGATCGATGTCTAACTGCTCCATTTGTCCCCAACTTCCCTCTTCTGCCGGCCTGGTCACCCCTAACTGCCCTTCCCTTGCAGGCCTGGTCCCTCCCAACTGGCCATTTTGTGTACACATGGGGGCAGGATCATTCACTACATGGGGGCAGCCATATTGTGTGTTGGAGTGATGGTCAATTTGCATATTACTCTTTTATTAGATAGGATTAGCTGTATATTGTATTGTGTGTTTACCAAATGAGACGTTTAGTATTTTGGAGTATACATTCTGATGTCACCTACTCCAGTTCCCTGGGAAGAAGTATGTTCTGTATTTTAACTACAATGAAAGAAGAAAAAATAATCACAATTTTCTATGGCAGCCCTTTAAAAAATTAAATATTCTCTAATATTTGAATGATATCCTTATATTTAACTTAAATCTCTCAGATGATTTAAATCATTTGTGTTTTTTTAAATATATTTTTATTGTTCATATTATTACAAATGTTCCTTCCCCCACCCCCCCCACCATTGTTCTCCTCCGCCAGGTTCCCACCCCACCCTCTGCCCTTTCCCCACCCCCCTTGTCCTCATCCATAAGTGCACAGTTTATGTTCAGTCTCTTCCCACCTCCCCATCTCCCCTTTTCCCCGAGAATCGTCAGTTCACTCCCCTTCCATACCTCTGATTCTATTATATTCACCAGTAATATTGTTCATCAGATTTTTTTTTCATTTCCTTGGTTTTTAGATTCACTTGTTGATAGTTACGTATTTGTTGTTCATTATTTTTATCTTTATTTACTTTCTCTTCTGAAAGAACCCCCTTCAGCAATTCATATAATTCTGGTTTGGTGGTGATGAACTCCTTTAGCTTTTTTTTATTAGTGAAGCTCTTTATCTGGCCTTCGATTCTGAGTGATAGCTTTGCTGGGTAGATTATCTTTGGCTGTAGGTTCTTATTATTCATCACCTTGAATATTTCTTGCCATTCCCGTCTGGCCTGCATGGTTTCTGTTGAGAAGTCAGCTGACAATCGTATAGGTGCTCCTTTATAGGTAACTACCTGCTTTGCTCTTGCTGCTTTTAATATTCTCTGTTCTTTTGCTCTTGGAATTTTAATTATGATGTGTCTTGGTGTGATTCCTTTTGTTTGGAGTTCTGTGCGCTTCTGTACTTGTAAGTCTAATTCTTTCACCAGGTGGGGGAAGTTTTCTGTCACTATTTCTTTTTTTTTTTTTTTTAATATATTTTATTGATTTTGTACAGAAAGGAAGGGAGAGAGATAGAGAGCTAGAAACATCGATGAGAGAGTCATCGATCAGCTGCCTCTTGCACACCCCGTACTGGGGATATGCCCGCAGCCAAGGTACATGCCCTTGACCGGAATCGAACCTGGGTCCCTTCAGTCCCCAAGCCGACGCTCTATCCATTGAGCCAAACCGGTCCCGGCATCTGTCACTATTTCTTTCAGTATGTTTTCCATATCTTGCTCTCTCTCATCTTCTGGGACCCTCATAATTCTGATGTTGGTTTGCTTGAAGTTGTCCCAGAGGTTTCTTACATTATCTTCAATTTTCTGGATTCTCTTGTCTTCTTGCTTCTGCGGAGGAGTGTCTTCTGGCTCTTTATGTTCCAAATCTTTGGCTTGATTCTTGCGATCTTCCATTCTGTTTTTAGGACTCTGTGTAATATTTTTTATTTCAGACAATGTATTCTTTATTTCTTGTTGATCCCTTATCATTTCTCATTGATTCCTTTTAATTCTAGTTGATCCCTTTTCATATCCTCATAGGTCTTATCGACCTTTTCTAGGAAATTCTTGAAAAACCTTATAAGCGTAGATTTGAACTCTATATCCAGTCACTTTTTGTCCTCCATTTCTTTCGTTTGTGATCTATTTCGTTGTCGCATTTTCGCAGCTTCCCTGATAGGGCAGAGTTTCAGGGTGGAGCCTACAGCCTTGGCTTCCATCAGCCCCCGCCCTATGCGGCTCCTGTGTCTCAGGGTCCTTCAGTACTCACTGCAAGCACCTCTGAGAGAAAGGTGCCCTCGATTTTCGCCTGCTACCAAACAGTCTAGGCTCTCCCCCAATGAGCCCAGAACTGGGGTTCAGTTCAGTTGGAAGTGGGATTGGAGGTGGTGTTCAGAGCAGTATGGAGCCCCAGTCTCCTTCCCACCAGGGCAATCCCGCGGCACAGCCAATCGTCCCTTCTCTGCACGCAATGTGCGCGCCTCTGGGACCTCCTTTCGCCGCTCCCCCAGGGTTCTGCCTTATAGCCCAGCTCCCTATGGATGAGCCTGGGTCCCCGGGGTCTGGACTAAAACTGGGGTTCAGAGCAGTCGGAACTGGGGCTCAGCACAGTTGGAGCTTTTATCTCCTTCCCGCTAGGGAACGCCAGCCAGGCACTCAGCCTCCCTCCTCTCTGGCTCCGTCCTCTCTGCGCACGCCGCGCGACTCCGTACCTTGGGCTTTTCCAGCTCCTCCGCACTTCCTTCTGGTTTTCTCCTTGCTTCTCGCTGTAGAATTTCCAGTCAGTCGACTTTCCTGTAGTTCTGGGTAATGTCCATTTTATATTTTAGTTGTATTTTATTGAAATTGTTGTGTGCGGCTGCGGCTAGGTGTTTACCTGTGCAGCCATCTTGGATTCTCCCTGCTGTCTTTTTTTTTTTTTTTTTTTTAAAGGTCCCATTTGTGTGTTTTGTTTTTTTTAACAGCAGAAGCTACTAAGTACAACTTAGTATCTTCCAAAGGAATGAACTCCTATCCTTCTCAGGGTTAGTAAAACCATACTCAGCTTTCCTAAAATTTCCAGTTAAATGTGTTCCTTCTTTGAGAATGACGTGGCTTTGGAGGCCGCTACTGAAAATCCCACCATTGGAGGCAGCTGAAGTGGGTGTGAGTGTGCAGGGGAAGAGCGGTGTATTTCTGGAGGTGACGTAACACACGGCCTGGGAGCTGGGCAACGGCTCTGGAATCCCACTCCAGAGCGAACCATAAGGATGGCGGGAGAACACTCAACAGGGTCCGGCTCTTCCTGCATCCGCTGCTGGGGATTTTGGAATCAGCACTTGGTTCTCCTTCTTGCAGTGAGACCATCGAAACCCAAGTGCGAGCTGGAAGGGGAGCCGCGGGAGGGCGGCGACCTGGCTCTGCAGTGTGAGTCGTCCTCGGGCACGGAGCCCATCGCCTATCACTGGCAGCGCGTCCGGGAGAAGGAGGGCCAGGAGGAGCGCCTGCCGCCCAGATCCAGGATCGGTAAGTCACCCTTCTCCCAGTCTGTGGAGACGACAGGACAGAACTGCCAGGATCCCCCAATTGGACAGCAATCACCATGTGGCCTCAAATACACCGCATCTCGTTGAACTTCCATTTTCGTCCATAAACTGGGCCTGTCTTTTCGGTTCTCAACTGGACCGTAAAGTATGAAAGACATTAGGAAAAATGCACCAAATCAATCCACCATTTCTATCTCGGGCAGTGTCCCTTCAATGTTCACAGCCCTTTGTAACTTTTGAGGATTCGCTATCATTTAAAAGAATGTTAGCGACTTTCTCCCCACGTCCCAAAGTGGGATCTATTCTGTCTTCCACCTCAATCTCACCAAACTGCCCTAGAGAATCGTAGGTAGACCATGGAATAAAATCATCAGCCTGCCTGAGGGAACCGCATCCTTTGTGCCTGTGCAGACCACGGCAGCCCGGGCCGCGTCCTGCTGCAGAACCTCACAGCGGCCTCCTCGGGACTCTACCGGTGCACGGCGGGCAACGAGGCGGGGAAGGAGAGCTGCGTGGTGCGAGTCACTGTGCAGTGTAGGTATCCGGAGGGGCGGGTTCCCTCTGCACGTGGCTCAAACATGTAAACAGGTGAAACATGTTTAATCAAGAGTATTTCCAGGAGAACATGGCTGTCACCAAAATCGGCCCAGTAGTTGGAAGGACCATTCGGCAGTTGTATTAGCTCTTTCTTTACAATTACTGTGGATTTATCAGCTCCCTAAAGAAATGTGTTCTATCTGGGAGGGGAACAAGTGGAGATTTCCCTTATTCATGTAAACTTCCTGGACATAAGGGTAACTTCCGTTTTTAGAGCTTTTCCTGTGTCTGCAGTTTCTCAGAAATAGTCAGCTTAAAAGAATCGTAAAGTGAAAGAGGCATATTTCGGGGTGGCGCATTCTACTGCCCTTCCACAGGGGGCGGGGCGTCAGACGCCAGGGTCCGCGGGAACTCAGGAAGGTTCAGCTCTGGGAGTGCTCATCCTGTCCGGGGCTCAGGTCTTCTAGTTCCCGCATCTCCTAGTTCATGTTCATTTCGCTTCTGCTTTCGTTTCTGAGAAAACAGACGTGCAGAGCATCGGCATGGTGGCGGGAGCAGTGACGGGCATGGTGGCCGGGGTCCTGCTGATCCTCCTCTTGGTGTGGCTGCTCGTCCGAAGGAAAGGCAAAAAGCGACACGAGGAAGAAGAGAGACCGAATGAAATCCGGTCAGTCTCCTCCACGCTCTCCTCCTCCCCAGCTTCCTTCCTCAGGCCGTCCCAGCGCCCAGCAACATAAACGCCCGTTTCCTCTCCCCGGGAACCTGTGTGACGGTCATTCTGTAAAGGGCAGGCACGGAGGGCCAGCCTAGGACAGGTCTGGCTTACCTTGCCTTCATAGCGAAACGCTCTCTCCTCAGAGATGCAAGCCATCAACTCCACGTAACTTCTGATTCCCTCTGCTCAGCGCGGGCAGACCACGGGCCCCAGCAGGGTTTCCACGGACAAACCCCACTCAAGGCCTGTGGTCCTTACACCTTCTCAATGCCAGGGCGCATCCTCCCAGAGTAAGAGCTGCTGCTCTGGGCTAACAAAGCACGCGTCTGCCTAAGCCGTGCCCTCCGAGCCTCAGAGGGGCCGGCCCGGGCCCTAAGTGGCCGCCTAGGGGACGTATTGGGAAGCTTCGGAAGGGAGCGACCGCCGGGGAATGATCAGTAAGACACTCACCTCCCTGTGCTTTCCCCTCAGAGAGGATGCCGAGGCCCCGAAAGCCCGCCTGGTGAAGCCCAGCTCCTCTTCTTCCGGCTCCCAGAGCTCCCGCTCCGGCTCCTCCTGCACGCGCTCCACCGCCAACAGCGCCTGCCGCAGCCAGCGGACACTGTCCCCCGCTGCAGCGCCCCGGCCAGGGCTGGCCGCCCGCACGTTCACGCTGGGCGGGCCAGAGGCCAGAGGCCCTGAACCAAAGAGAGGGCATCACGCTCCCCTGGCCAAGGCCCAAAGCACCGCCGGCCGGCTCCCCAGCCAGAGCCGGCCGCTCCAGACTGTCTAACTGCCCTGGGCTCCGACTCCCAGGCTGCCCGGGAGTCAGCAGCTTAGGACTTTTCCGGTCACTGCAGTTCAGCCACCAGCCTCACAACCCCCGAGGCGACTGCTAGGCGAGGTCACTCCTGGAGCGGGAGCGTGGCGTGGAGCCGTTCTAATGCGCCTACTCCTTCCAGGACTCCAGCTGGCGTGTCCGCCGGGGCTTCGGACAGGAGTGGGGGAAGCGGGTCTAGTCTGGTCATCTGTGGACCAGACCTGTGGAGAGAACGGGGAGAAAGGGGGAGGGGACCCACGTGAACTTCTCACTGAGATATTTTGTATCAATACTTCAATTCGTGATTGTCAAGAAGAAATGAGGTGTCCACAAATGTTCTATGCCTTTCTGCAAACCTACTGAATTACTGTGATTACCCAGAGTCCAGCAGAACCCACAGCCTTATTCCACACCTTTCCACACCAGGGACTGGGATGTAGCTTCTGAGAAACCCCAAAAAAGGAAGTCTCTTCTAGTCTGCCTTGATCTCATTTACAGAAGGTCTGGATATGATTTCAAGAGGAACTGAAATAATGGGAGATGGAGAACAATTGAGTTTCTCCCACTCAGTTTCTCCTACTCCCATTGGCCATTAGAGCACTAAAAAGGAGTCCAAAATGTGAGACAAGGGATTGTGAAAACCTTTCGTCTTGATGGTCAGAGGGTCACTGACAAATACCAGAAATGTAAGCTGAACAATTGTGGGTTTTCCCTCCAGAGGTCTCCACGGCTCCCTGTGGACTCTGGAGCATTCACTCTGTGTCACTAACAAGGCCCTTAGGACGAAGTCTTACAGCGGAAGAGAGATCTGAGAGATGCTGAAAGACCATCTGGTGTACAGTACAGTCTTTCTGAGAACACACAAAACCAGAATTTCAAGAGTGACTGGGTTAGAGGGAGATTTGGTCAATTTTTTTAATGCCACAGAATGGCATCAGGAAGTTTAGAATTGCACCAAACTTCGAGTTTCTCTGTTTGTTTCATCTTAAGAAAAGGGTGTGAACCTGGGACTCCTGACAATCCCAGGCTGTTATCAGAAAGATCAGGGATTGCCAGCATTTCCTACTGGCACTGCAGGTATGCCAGTCATTCCTGTCTGAGAAGTTGGGACAGAGCGAAGTCCAGTGTTTTACCAGCTCAGCCTGTAAGGAAATGGGAGTCAATTTGAGGAAGGGATGGGAGGGATCTGTAGTGAGCGGCAAGAGTGGAGTGAATGCCTGTTTATCATACCTGTAGGCATTTTGGAAAGGTGGGCAGGAATGAATTCACCAGGACAGCTCTCAGAAGAGCTGATCCACGGGAGAAGAAAGGTCTGGATTTTAAAAAACAAACAACAAAACCAAACGGCAGCCTCCAACACAATAACTTGCCCTTTTAATAGTGCAAATGTCAACAGATCACTGGCAAAGCAAAAGGTTTACTATTGAGAGGGCAGCAGAGGCTACAGAAAGGAAAAGGCAGTGCTGAAGGTGAGAGCACTGCCTCTACCAGGTTCTGAAAGGGAAAGGCTGCTCTGAAATTGGGCCCCATTTCTCTGGTTTTTTATTTTCTACGTTTAATTCTTACAACAGTGTCCTCACATAGTGCAAATGCATACCTTCTAAAGCCCTTTGAAGAAATAGGGGTTTGGCCCGGCTGGCAGGGCTCAGTGTTGAGTGTCGACCCATGAACCAGGAGGTCATGGTTCAATTCCCTGTCAGGGCACATGCCCGGATTGTGGGCCTGATCCTGTGTGGCAGCAGATCAATGATTCTCATCTTGATGTTTCTATCTCCCTTCCTCCCTGGAATCAATAAAAATATATTAAAAAAAAAAAAAAAAAAAAAAAAAAGGAAATAGGGGTTTGGCCTTGGCCAGTGGCTCAATGGTTAGAGCATCAGTCCGTGGATCTAAGGGTTGACGGTTCAGTTCCTGGTCAAAGGTACATACCTCGGTTGCAAGTTCAATCCGCAACCCTGGTTGGAGTGCATGCAGGACGCAACGAATCAATGTGTCTCTCACATCCTTGTCTTTCTCTCTCCCCCTCCTCTTTCCCTTTCACTCTAAAGAATATCCTTGGGCCTAACCGGTTTGGGTCAGTTAGAGCGTTGACCCCAAGACTGAAGGGTCTTAGATTTGATTAGTCCAGGGCATGTACCTCCGTTACAGGCTCCATCTGCAGCCCCAGCTGGAGGGTGTGCAGGAAGCAATTAATTGGTGTCTCTTTCGCATCAATGCTTCCTTCTTTCTGCCTCTACCCCTTCCTCCACTCTCTAAACATCAATGGAAAAATATCCTCTGGTAAGAATTAAAAAAATAAGTAAATTAAAAAAAAATAGGGGTTTCTTGGTGGTTAGAGAATTGGCCTACACACCAAAGGGTAACAGGTTTCATTCCTGGCCAAGGGCATATGCCTGGGTTGCAGTTTCCATCACCAGCCCCAGGCATGGCAACCAATGTGACACATCGACATTTCTCTCTCTCCCCCCCCTTCTGCCCTCCTACTCTCTCTAAAAATCAACGGAAAAATATTCTCATGTGAGCATTAACCAAAAAGAAAAAAAAGAAAGAAATAGGGGTTTACTATGGGTGCAAGTTTTCATCTGAGTTTCTTACTCTTAATAAATTGAGAAGTAAGAGACATTGAGGAAGTAGTATAAAGAATGGCTGATGTTAGTTTAATTTAAAAGGGCTATTGCCGAAACCAGTTTGGCTCAGTGGATAGAGCATCAGCCTACGAACTGAAAGGTCCCTGGTTCAATTCCGGTCAAAGGCATGTATCTTGGTTGCGGGCACATCCCCAGTAGGGAGGTGCAAGAGGCAACTGATCTATGTTTCTCTCTCATCAATGTTTCCAACTCTCTAACCCTCTCTCTTCCTCTCTGTAAAAAATTAAAGTATATTTAAAAAAAATAAAAAAATAAAAGGGCTAGCAAATTTGGAATGTTTCTTGTACTACCACAACCTCATTGTAAGATAAAAAGTCTCCCACTTTACTTTTTATTCCTCTTGTAGTGGTATCCAGCAACTTATTTCTGCTGGGCAATATTGGGAATTCTCTTTCCCAGAGAACCTGAGCCAAACAAGGGCCTGCGGACTCTGCATCATTAGCAATTCTGCTCCTAACCCCGGGGCCATGCCTTGGGAAGTAGGACTTAGGCCCCTTTGCTTGAAAAGGACCTTTAGGTTATTTAAACCTGTAGCTATCAGAGGACTAAATACCATTTAAATAATCCAGATTCTTTTGGAAATCAACTCACACTGGAAATCTACAAAAGAAGTCACAAAACTGATAATTACCTAAAATCTGAGAAATTCTAGAGCTTGGAGATCCTGAGAGAAGGTGATGAGATCTTAGTAATGGTAGTGCACTTCTTTGAGTCAAGTCTTTGAGTTCAGATATAACAGGTTCCAGGCTTAAGATAAAGTTTGAACTGTTACTGTTTTCAAATCACATTCCATTAATTTTGCAAGTCAGATAAATTTGATGCTTGAATATGAAACAAACAAAGGATACAATCACTAAACGTTAGAAGAAAAAATGCCCGGAAGAAGATACAGACAGAATGATGTGAATGTTCAGAGAATAACCATTTCAATAAAATATATAAACTGAACTTACAACTGAAAAATAATGAAGCTGATGCCTTTGTTATTAGACTGTATAAAAACAATTCAGAATCACTGTTGCAAAAACACTAATTTTGCCTCATTTCTGTTAAGCCGTTTATACTTCAATCTTAACTTCTAAGTTGCCTTGTAATCGGGACTGTGATCACAAAAACAAATATTACAGATGGATCTGTATCTGCAATTAAAAAAATAAATAACTAAAGGTGATACTGTAGGAGACTGAAGCTCATACAGCCTACACTGGGAATTTGTTTATTAGCTGTCTGCCAACTGGAGAACAGAACTCAGACCGAATATCTGTTCGTTATTGATTTCAGTCACAAACATGCCAACAACCTTTCTCTCACAAGGCAAGGTGCCAGTCCTGCTGGAGACACCCCGGGAGCTCTCCTCCTCCCCCACCCCCCCAGCACAGTGAACCCCTGTAGCTACCAGAGGACTAACCAAAAAGTGAACCTCGGGGTTCGCTCTCCTCGCCTCCCCCAGCACAGTGAACCCCGGGGCCTTCCTCTCCCCCCCCCCCCCCCCCGCCACAGTGAACCCCGGGGCCCCCCCCTCCGCACAGTGAACCCCGTGGCGCTCCCCCCTCCCCCCCCCCCCCCCCCCGGCACAGTGAACCCCGGGGCGCTCCCCCTCCACCCCACGCACAGTGAACCCCGGGGCGCTCCCCCCTCAGGACAGTGAACCCCGGGGGTCTCCCCCCCACCCACAGTGAACCCCGGGGGTCTCTCCCCCCCCCACAGTGAACCCCGGGGCGCTCCCCCCCCCCCGCACAGTGAACCCCGGGGCGCTCCCCCTCCCCCCGCACAGTGAACCCCGGGGCGCTCTCTGAAGCTGAGTGAGTGAGGAAGCAAACGGAGCATCATCTTGTCCAACAAGGTGCACGTTTAACCTCTAGAGCGGAGGGCGCGCCAGCGCTCGGCCGGAAGCACACAGGGGCCCCGGGCCGCTCCCGCTCCCGCCGCAGGCCGCGCCCTCGGGGTCCGCTTAGGAGCCAGGCCGGCGCCCGCAGACCCCCCTCCCCTGCCGCAGGCGCGGCCGCCGTCTCGTTTCCACCCTGGCCCAGCCGCGGGCGCTCCCGGGGCGGGGGGGGTTGGGGCTCGGGGGTCCGGGCCGGGCGGGCGGCGCGACCCGCGAGGCCCCTCCAACCCTGCGGTGGGGCTCGGCCTCGGGCTGCCGCCGGGAAGCGAGGGCGCCGGGCCGCCTGGCTAGCCGGCCCCCCGCGCAGGCGGCGCCCCAAACCGCAGGCCTGGGTGCCCGAGTCTCCGAGCGGCGCCCGGCCGGCACCGGCGCCCGCGCCCTGCGGCAGCCCCAGCCCGAAGGCAGGCCGTGGCGAAGCGGGGCCCGAGGACCCTGGGAGG